GGGGGGTCCCCTCCCGCCGGGGGTCCCCTCCCGCCCGACCCCGCGAGCTCTGAGCCCTTTCCAAAAAAATTACTTCTAAGTTCTCCACGCTAGGCAACCCTGCCGGTGAAGCCGATGACGGCCTCCGCGAGGATGATGCCCAAGGATGGGAAAATAGGAGCTCGCGCCGGCGCGGAGTTTGTGATGGAGCGGGTAACCGTTCCCCATGGCGATAAGCCTGGCACCTGCTTAGTCCTCCACTCCCAACGTTGAAATAAAGCCAAACTTCCAACCGCCGGCCTGTCCCTCCCGACCAACTGTAGTTGAGAGTCACAGGGCAGGTGCGGAGGGAAAGCTGTGTCCAAAGTCCCGCTACCAGGTGGGGAAGTCATTTTCACGCCACGTGGTGAAAGGAGGGGTCCCGGAGGTGACCCTCGGGAGGTTAGACCCATAGACGCAAGGTGGGTGGGGGAGGTGGCCGTGGAGGGCAAGGCGTGGGGGGGCGACCCGCCCACCTGAGCGGCCGGAAGCGCCTGCGCCACCTGGGGAGCCCCTTGCTCTAACCTACAGTTGACAGGAAACACGGGGGGTGGAGGCGGAGCCACCAGCCTGCCCGGAGCGTGGAATCCCCTTCGACTCACGACCCTGGTGCCCGAGTGCCGGAGCCAAGACTTAAAACGCAACGCCAGCACCGGGTCTGCGTCCTAAGTCAGAGTCTAACCGGGTGTTGTTTGAGAAAATCAGAAAAGCAAACATAAGTTTTGCTATGTAAATGGCGAATTATTGTAGCTTATTTCTGAATTTACGTTTTTCCTGGATTCCTGGTGAAGTTTTCTTGTTTCTGGGCCTCCTGAATTATTCTTTGGTGAATTGTTTATCTGTTCTGGCCATTTTTTCTTGGGTTGTTTAACTTTTTTAAAATTATTATTACTTTGAAATAATTATAGACTCACAAAAAGTCACAAACGTAAGATAATTAATCTTAATTATTCTCAAAGTCAGGAAACTGAGATTGCTTTGTTTTTTGTTTTCTTATTTCAATTATGGTAAAAGTACACAAAGTAATTTAACACAATTTGCAATTATCTTTGTGAGATTATTTCTAAATATTGCACTTGTATGATGAAAACAATATAACATTGTGCTGCCGTATCCCTCCTCTCAACTCTGCTTTCAGTCACCAGCTCCAAATAGACCCTGCTTGGAGTATCTATGCCCCCCAAATCAGCAAATGCTATAAGTCAGTGTTATGCCTCTATCAGCAGAGTTTCCTGTCAAAAATGAGGTTAGCACCGGGCTCACAAGGGGATGAGACAAGTAAGGGGGTACTGATATCTCACAGTGGCTTAGAAATTTATCTTCCTTTTTCAAGTAAACTTTGCTTAAGGTTTATAGATTTTGTTAATTAAATTTTTTCCTTACATCATTATAGTCCCCATAGTTCTCCTGCTACCTTATCACCCTTAGTCCCTTGTGTTCATACCTCCCCTGGTTTGCCCTGCCTCTCCTGCCCCCTTCTTTGCTGTATGCTTCAGTTCTGTGGGCATAATGTAAACTTTTCAATTGAAGTATAACATGCAAATGGAAAAATATATAAATCATAAAGCACCTCTTTGTTCACAAAATGAACCCACAAGGTAAACTCCAGAGCAGGGAAAATTATCAGCAATCTTCCCTGTGTCCTCTCTTGACATCCCCCCTCCAAAATGTAAGGACTACATTTTGGTTGTTTTTGACCTTTCTTTAAATGAGATCATACAGAATGATATTTTGTGATTGGCTTCTTTCATTCAAAATTGTGTGTGTGTGTGTGTATACATATATATGTATGTATGTATGAGACCTGTGTTATGTATATGTCCTTTTTTCCACACTTTATAGAATGCTCTTTCTATCTTCTGGAAAAGAGAGAATCCTTTGCTATAAAGCACAATAGATTGGAGACATTGCCTACATAGTAATTTAAAAGTACTCAAACTTTGTTTAAATACACATATTTGAAGAAGAAACTGTAATCACTATCACCCTAAGCAACAAAATAGATTGATATACTGGTAATTACACTCCATCCTGTATCCATTTAAATGAATATATAACTTTAAAAGCAGGGTCCTCTCTGGTGGTGCATTGGGTTAAAGTGCAGAGCTACGAAGCTAGCTGTAGCCATTGCAGCATGAATTCAATCCCCAGCCAGGGAAGTGGCCCACATGGTGCCCCATGAATAATAAAAATCTTTTATAAATTTAAAAGCACATATACTGCCCAAATCTTCCCATTCACCAGCTGTATGGTAAGGGGTTATGCTTTTCTTTTAAAAAATTATTTATTTATAGATACAGAACTGGGGTACAGTCCAGAGGTGGATGGTGGTGGTGGTAATGGTGAGGATTCACCAGAGAAAGAGGGCAGAGTAGGGAGCAGACAAAGTACACTGCTGCTCCTACATAGTAATTTAAAAGTTTAAGGGGAGCAGTGTGCTAGACAAGGGGGGTCTGCAGCACCTCCCTGGCTGGGGATTGAACTTCGTCCTGAAGCTGTGGCTGGATTTGCAGTGCTGTGGTTTAACCCATTGCCACCAGGGAAGGTCTGAGGGGTTATGCTTTTCAGGAGACAAGGGGAGCTTGTGAAAATTCAGTCACATTCTTCATTCATTTACTCATTCAAAAACTAATTGAATACCTACTCTGCCAGGAATTGTTCTAGCTTTGTCTCCAAAATTCTAAATCCTAGTGCCTTAACCCTTTTTGTGATAGAATTTACATGTTTGCCCTTAATGACTTAATGCTTTTAACAGAAAAAAGAAAATGCAACACAACATCACTGTTCTATTCACAATGTCATCAGAAGATTCAGAAAACACATTATTTCTGGGTGAGCTATGATAATGTAAAGTGGTAAGGAGAGAATAAAACTGCCAACAGGTCCTTCCTCTTGGTGGTGTCTGAATACAAGTCACCAAAGGAGCAAGGATTTTGAGGGATTTGGTCTCCAGTTATTGAGACCCCACACCACCACCACTCGGCAGAGGACAAAGGGTGTGGAGACTTTCATTTCTTCATATTGCAATCATCACAATTAAGAGTGCCAGAGAAAATGTTTCTGCCTTCACCTGCAGAGCATACAAAATATGGTGTGTGTGTATGAGGGGAGGGGACCCACAGCACCTTCATAAACTGCATATTATTACCAAAGTAAAAAGTACCAAAAGAAGTCCATGTTAGGGAAATCTAAAAAGATGCTGTATTAGAAAAAGCACTCACCTCTTGAGTTGTTATGAATGAATCCCTTGAGCAAATGCAAAAGTGAAAGTTGTTAAACGTTTGATAAGAATGCAGTCCCTGAGGTTGCCAGGAGGACTTTCAAGGGAGCACAGCTCGCACCTGTCCATAGGGCCCTGCCAGAGGTACCTCCACTGTCTGAGAGGTACCTCCACTGTCTGAAACTCCAAGCAACCAGGTCTCTCCATGGCAGAAGAGTTTCACGTTAAAAAACACAAATCGTTTTTATATATAAAAGAGAGCGAGAAAGTGTTTTCATTAAAATATATATTAAATTGTCAATAAATGAAGCTGTCTACTGGATGCTTAGTTCTTCCACCTGCCCCTAGAACTGACCTACGGTGCCTTTTTACTACACAAGAATGTATATTCCTATGGACATCATAACAGGCAGCTGGATCAAAAGGAGGGAAGTGGCTGGTATGAGGGGTGGGGTGATATTTTAACAGGTGACAAAGTACTCCTACTTCCCAGTCCCGAAATTAGGCACATTCAGGAACTCAGAAAAAACCGCGCGAGAATGTTGGCTCCTGGTCTTACCCAAGGACTCCTGAGCTAGGGACTCCCAGGCCCCGCCCCTTTTGTTGGCCATGCCCACCTCAAGTTACGCCCAAACCAAGTTAGTCCCGCCCCGTGTTCTCACACAGTCCCGCCCCTCCAGCGGGGTACTTCCGGCTCTCGCGAGAGCGCAGCCCGGAAGTCTCCCGGCGGGAGCTGACGGTTTGGGACCCCACGTGGGTTGGGTTTCGGAGTAAGTTGCTGGTACTGCCTGCCTCTCCCCGGTGCGATGGGGAAGCTGCGCCGGCGGTACAACATCAAGGGGCGCCAGCAGGTGACCCCCGGCCCCTCGAAGGGTCCCCCCGAGCCACCTCCCGTGCGACTGGAACTAAAGGGTAAGGCGTCCCGGACTGGGGCAGGGTTTCAGGGGAGGGGTCAGCTGGGCACTGGGTCCGGAGGGCCTTGCGCACTGTGCCCTTCTTGACTAGAGTGGGGAGAGGAGAACCCCCTCTCAGGAGGCCCGAAAGAGGGGCAACAATGTCACGCTACTTATATGTGTGTCTGGGACAGGACCCTTGTGCCGTAGTATAGAGATGGGGGCAGTTCCACTTGTTCCTATGCTTGGGTTCCTGTACTGTATCTTCTCCAGCTCCCGCGTCTATTTTCAGCTACTTGTCTGCTCAGTTGCAGGCTGCTTGATGTTTCTGCTCAGATGCTGCTTTGCTAATAGGAGCGTCTACCATGTGCCTAGCACCATTCTTGGAGACATCATAGGAGATTTAAAAAATAATCTCTGCTCAGCTTGTGTGCTCCTGGGGGGAAATGAACAAAGATAAATGTGTTAAACATATAAAACAAATGTTGTATGAATATAAAATTCTAAGGAGATGAAGCAGGTCAGGCATTGGATGGACTGTGGGTTCCATGGAATTATGGGGAAAGTCACACTGAGGAAGCAAGTATTTGAGTTAAGACCTCAGAATGACTGATTGGAGGTGAGAGGAAAAAGTGGGGGGCCTTACGAGTCATAGAGAAGACCAAGGCTTTGGGGGGATTTGTAGCAAAGTTGAGATGCCACTGGATTTATGTTTTAACAGTATCACTGTGGATGCTATGTTGGCAAAAGTAGAACCAGGAGATTGCTTAGGAGGCTTAGTACACAAATTTGGACAAAAGCAGAAGTCTGGACCAAGGAGTAAGCAGGGGAGGTGAGAAGTTATTGGGTTCGGGATACATTTTGGAGATGGTGACAGTATGTGGTGGCAGGTTTTTTTTTTTTTTTAAGATTTGTTTTATTTATGTATACAGAACTGGGGTACAGGCCAGTTGTGCAGGTGAGAGGATTCATCAGAGGCAGAGGAGGAACAGGCTGATCAACGAAGTACACCGCTGAGGGGACCAGCGGGCAGTCAGTAGAGTTCTGCCATGCCAAGGGCAGGCAGTTTTGCGGGAGACCCAGAGCTTGGTTTGGGAGTCATTTGGAGATCTAAGTAGAGGGGACAGGCATACATATCTCCCCCACACAACCCAGGGAAGCATATCTGTGTGTCCCTCTGGTTTGAAATTACCCTCTTTACTGGTCTATTGTTTATGGTCTATACTTCCCTCCTCCCCCACCCCAGACTAGTATGGAGGGACCCCCTTGGGGGCTCCAGAGGCTCATACTGGGTGGCCAGCCCAGAGGACTCAGCACTAAGGTGGCTGGCCTCCGTAGCCTCCAGGTCTTGAAACAGTCCAGAATGTCTTTTCAGATGAGGCCACGCTGAAAGGAGTTGATGCAAGCAACGCACTGGTGCTACCGGGGAAGAAGAAGAAGAAGATCAAAGCCCCTCCTTTGTCCAAGAAGGAGAAGAAGCCTCTGACCAAGAAAGAGCGGAAAGTGCTGCAAAAAATCTTAGAACAGAAGGAGAAAAAGAGCCAGGTACATACCACCAACTCAGTCTGGGTCACATGGTTCTTCAGGGTGGGGAGGGCTGAAGAGTCTGTACCCCAACCCCCTGCCCTCTGGGTCTCTGTAGCAGGACTCTCCAGTGGGGCTTTCTGGAACTTGAGGCATGTTCTTTGTCGATACAATCCAGTATAGTAGCTACTTCACCTATGGCTGTCAGCACAGGAAACATTACTGCATGACTCAGGACTTGGTTTTATGATTTAGTTTTAATGAATTTAAATCCAAATACCTACAGGTGACCAGGGGCTCCAAGACCTTGAGCCCCTCATGGGGCTGGCTACTTGGGGCTCTGCCAGGCTGCAGCAGGCCCAGGTTTACTGAGGCTGGATGTGTGTTAATGAGGGAATTAGCCCGTCAATATGCTTGCCTTGTTTCCCTGCACATTTGTATTTTAATCTGGTCAATTTCAAACTTTCTTCCTTAAATCTTTTCAGAGAAAGGGGTTTTGTAATATAAAATCCAAACACAGAAATGGAGGTAACAGGGTCCAATGGTGACCACCCTGGTCACTCCAGGGTCCCTACCACTGTTCCTTCTTCCCCTGGGTCCAAGTCCAGGACACCCATCAAGATATTAGTTTCCTGGGGCTGCCCCAACAAATGACCATGCACTGGGTGACTTAAAACAGAAATTGATTCTCTGGCATTCCTCGAGCTCTGAGGTGAGGCGAGGCTATGTCCTAAAAGTCTGAAATCAAGGTATGGACTGCAGGAGTCTCCAGCGGGGGTCCCTCCTGGTGCCCCAGGATATCAGCCTCCATGCCACAGAGCCCTTTCCCCTGTGTGGCTCCTGTAAGAAGAACCTTTAGATTTAGGGCCCACCCCAGAAGTCCAGGTAATCTCATGTCTGGATCTTAACTTACTACATCTGCAAAGACCCTGTCTCCAAACAGTGGACAAATGTTTTGGGGACTGTCATTCAACCCACTGTACCTACATTTTATCCATAAATCAGTTTCTATTGTTGAAATGAGGACTATTTTTAAATAACCAGTGCTGTTAGCAACACCTTTTTGAAAATACCAAATATCCTATAAATGGTTGAATTTCCAATTGTTTTGTACAGGTGGCTCCCACCCTATCCCCCCCCCCCTGTGTAATTTGTTGAAGAAATTAGATTGTTTCAGAGTTTCCCAGAGTCTAGACTTTTACTTCCTGTGGTGAAGCTAAATTCATTCCTCTGTTCTCTGAACTTCCTGTAAATTGAAATTTGGATCTGGGGCAGTGATTCTCGACTGGGACGGTTTTGCATGGGGGAGTATTTGGCCATGTCGAACATCTAGTCATGATGACGTGGGGCCCTACAAGCAGCTCCTGGGCTGAAGCAGCCAACAGCACCCCACAGCAAATTGTCCAGCTGGGGTACAGAGGCTGAGAAATTCAGATCCAGAGGCCTCGTGGGCTCCCTATTTGATTCTGGCAAAGTCATGACGAGGCTGTGGTGTCCACAGGAGACGGCTGACCTGTGCTTGCCCAGGGAGACCCACCCTCCCGCGGTGTTTCCTGTAAGCACCCTGTGCGGTGCTGCTTCCCTGCTGTCCTCTGCCTGGCTCTGTCTCTTACAAGCTCTGAATTGTTTACACAGAGAGAAACACAGGGAAAAGCCTGATGAAACTTTGAGTCAGGAAAAGAAAACAGTTTTGCACACCCCTAAACATTGCTCCTTAACTCATATGGGGACCATGTCCCATCAGGCATGGAGCTGCCCCCCCAGCTTGAGTAACAACAGGCGAGGAGGTGGTGATGCCACAGTATACCCCTGGGCCCTGCTCTGTGCCTTTGGCGGTCTCCCTGGACAGGCACCTGGTTGGTCAGCAGTCTACAGCCCCGCTTACCTGACCCCGACTCCATGGGGGCAGAAGCCCCCTGAATATCGGCAGAAGAACACCCTGCAATGGAGCTTGACTATAGAAAGATCGTGGTGGGGCCCTCCTTGGTGGTGCAGCGGGTTAAAAGCACAGCACTGCAAGCTAGCCACAGCCACTTCAGTACTGGTTCGATCCCCACCCGGAGGTGGTGGCAGACCTCTCCTGACCCACCCACTGTTCCCCTTAGCGGGGTACTTGCAAACCTCTCTTGACCCGCCCAGTGCTCCCTTTAGCAGTGTACTTCATCAGTCTGCCTGTTCTGCTCCCCCACTCTGTCTCTGGAGAGTCCTCTCACCGCCCCTGCACCTTAGCTCTGTATACATAAATCAATAAAATCTTTTAAAAAAAGAAAGAAAGAAAAATTGCAGTGGTAGCAGTGCTGAAGCTTGATACTGTCACACTGCCCCTCCACGGAGCGTGTCTGTGCCGATTGTGACACTGTCTCCCTTCCCAGCGAGCAGAGATGCTACTGAAATTGAGTGAAGTCCAGGTTTCAGAAGATGAGATGAAGCTCTTCTACACCACATCCAGGCTGGGCACGGGGCACCGCATGTACCACTCCAAAGCGTGAGTCACCCCTAATGTCAGGATCCACGCGAGCAGGCATCGATTGGGTCATAGAAGGCGTTGCTCCTGGGGCTGTGGGAATAAACCAGCACCGATGGCAGCTTCCAACTGCAGGACTGTATACTCCTGCCACGTGTCCTGAGGCAGGTATCTGCAGAGCCAGCTCCTCCTGGTCTTGCTCCTCATCCTGGCACTTGCCAGCCATCTTGGGTGTCCGTGGCTTGCAGGCCTTAATCTGCATGTCTCTGCCTTCCATGGGCCTCTGCTCTCTGTTGAGGTATCTTCTCGCTCCTCTCAGGAGACCAGTCACTTGGGGGGCCTTTGTCATTGAAGGTCATATTCTGAGGCCCTAGCAGACATGACTTTGGGGGAGATGCTATTTACTAATAACCAACTTTTAAAAGTTAGGAAAAATCACCTAAAAATCCAGGTTCCCACCTGGTCTGCACCATTCAGACAATCTGGCCATGCCAGCCAGCAGTTGCAGAGGGCAGCTGGCCCTTAAGTGGAGCCTGTGTATCCCTTTCCCCATGGCTTCCCTGCCTCTGCTCTTAAACTCAGCCCGGTCTCCTCTTACAGTGATCCCAGTCTGGTGCCTCTAAGCATTATTGTGCATTTAATAACTGCTTACAGGTTCTACGGGCCCTAGGATAGGACAGTTTGCAAAAATAAAATTCCCTTCCCTTAAGAAACTTAGTTCTGGGCCTCCTTGGTGGCTCAGGGGTTAAAGAAATGGCACTATCAAGCTGGTGCCAGCCACTGTGGTCTTAGTTCAATCCCCAGCCAGGGAGGTGACCCACATGGTGCAGCAGACCTCTCCTGTCTCCTTGCTGTTCCCCTCAGCAGTGGATTTCAGTCAATCCACCTGTTCTGCTGCTCATTCAGTCTCTAGTGAGTCCTCTCAGCTCCCTGCACCTCTGGCCTAAACACCAGTTCTTCTAAGTATATATAAATAAATATATCTTTGGGGTGGGGGTGGGGAGAAGATACTTAATTCTAATGGTGGGGCCTTGGTTTATAGTCAAAAACGTAGATATTTAGGACTGGTGGGCATAAAATAGACAATAAAGCAGGGCAAGAGAATGGAAGGCATTGGAGAGGGATTTCAGCTGCACAGTTAGGAAGGCTTCCCTGAAGGGTGACGTTTGCGTCATGTAGAGACGCAAGGACATCTTGTGCAAAGCCTCTCGGGTGGGGGTGGTCATGGCCTTTGAGTTCCAGGCTCTGACCAGTGTTGAGCAGCTTGGGGTCTACTGGTCCTTCCAGGCTCCATTGCTGATGCTTGCTGTCCCAGCAGGAAGTCTCAGGAGGTCAGAGCCCAGGGTCCGGAGAGGATCAGCAGCCTCAGCGGGGCCCACCGGAAGCGCTGTCATGAGGATTCAGAGGAAGAGGAGTCCGAGTCTGAGTTCTCAGCAGAGTCTGAGCTCGAGGATGAAGCCACAGGAGTCGAGCCCGGGGAGGCTGGTGTGGGCATTGGAGTGGCAGGTGTGCCTCCAGAGGCAGCTGGTGAGAATCCAGAGCCCAGCACTCAGTCAGCTCCAGCAGGGACCCCTGCTGCTCCTCCAGGCCCACCAGCAGCATCCTCCACCATGGCCAGGCCCCCCATGAAGCCGGCCATCTTCATCCCTGTGAACCGCTCCCCTGAGATACAGGTTTGCCACTGGGGTGTTTGTGGTAGGGGCAGGGGCTTGAGTGCTTGGGGCAGCTTGCTTCACCCTCCTGCCTCTGAGACCAGTCTAGAAAAGGGGGAGTAACAGCACCTCCTCATGGAGATGTGTTGCAGCCTTCCCTGGAGTTGGTCCAGGCTGTTGAGGTTGGTCGGGGTCAGTGTTTCATCATCTGGCATTGTCGTGTGTCCTGGCCGAGGTGGCCAGTTGTCCAGACTTAGCCTGGGCCGTGGAATCAGCTGACCTGGAGTCGAACGTTGGCCATGTCTACTGCTTCCTTGCTTGCCCCAGGCCCGGGCCTTCTGATCTGCACTTTGGGGCTGTCCCACCTACTTTAGGTGCTCCCTTTTCTCTGCCTCACTCTCCTTATCTGGTCTCGGGGTTGTGCTGCTGATGAAAGGACTTAAGGATGTAAAGCCTGGGACCCTCTGCAGAAACCTTGGTGTGGTATCATCGACTGTTTGGTCTCAGGATGCCTTGGACGCTGGGGTACCATCCAGGTCACTCAGTCCTGGGCCCGTCTGGTGGAGGTCACTCCATCTGTCCACTCTGTTCACTCAAGGGCAGTGGGGACCTTCATCCTGGTGGGGAGAGCAACCTCAGCCTCGCGCTATTTTACATGGGGACGAGGGCTGTGGAGGGAGATGGGGTTCTTTGAGGGGCCTGTTCCTGAGTAGGGGACGGGACAGGCCCTGGCGCAGGGGCTGCCTAGGTCCTGAGAGCGGATTTGACTGTTAAAATAGGGATGAGTGATTCTTTTTTAAATGAAAACATTGAAATTATCAGCTCACCATCCCAGATAAGGGTGAAGATCATTTCATGAGGTTGTAGCTGGAGCTGTGGGGACATGCAGGGCAAGCTCTGGCCCTCCCCAGTTACTTCCATGATGTCACGGCCCAGGCACTGTGCCAGTAGGGAGTGGAGTTCCGCTCCGCCAGGCTTGGTGGCTGGACTCTTCAGGGTGTCCCGCTGCTGCCAGGCTCTTCTGAGGGTATTCCTCAGAGGCCTTCCTGGAGGAGGTGTCTCAGTGCTGTGTCTCTGTGTGAATAGCATGGTGCTCCTTTTCCTTCTGCAGTTTTGCTCTTTTGTCAGTCAACTTAATAGGCCTGAGTTTTGTTCCTGCCCTCTGGAGCTGAAGTCCATTCTTTGGTTTTTCTTAACTGCCTCAGGGAAGAACCTGTTGTGGGAACAGGGCGTGATCTTGGCCTTTTCTTCAGAGCATGGGATTGTCCTCCCATCCTGCAGCTGTCCTGCTGTCTTAGATGCCCTAGCCCCTCCCTTGGCGGCCATGCTGGGATTCCTGGGGCAGTGTTTGCCACCCATCTGGTGGTCCTGACCATGAGGCAAATGGTGTTTTTTGGGGTTTTTTTTTGTAACGCTGAAAAGGATAGAATAAAAACCATTTTCAGAACAAGTGTGCATGTGTATACACAGGGTGAGCAGTATGTCGTGGGGCTTCTCCTGCTGTGTATACAGTCATGTATGTGCACAAGCGCTTCTTGGTCCGTACGTACAGACAGGCATGCGCACAGCGCTTCTCCGGCCATGCATACACAGGCGTGCCCACGGCGCTTCTCCGGCCCTGCGTACAGGCAGGCGTGCCCACTGCGCTTCTCCGGCCATGCATACACAGGCGTGCCCACGGCGCTTCTCTGGCCCTGCGTACAGGCAGGCGTGCCCACGGCGCTTCTCCGGCCCTGCGTACAGGCAGGCAGGCGTGCCCACGTCTCTTCTCCGGCCATGTATAGACAGGCGTGCGCACAGTGTTTCTCCAGCCGTGTATAGACAGGCATGTGCACAGCACTTTTCCGGCCATGCGTACAGACAGGCGTGTGCACAGCGCTTCTCTGGCATGTATAGACAGGCGTGTGCACAGCGCTTCTCTGGCATGTATAGACAGGCGTGTGCACAGCGCTTCTCTGGCATGTATAGACAGGCGTGCTCACAGTGCTTCTACCATCTATATGGACACGCATGCGCACAGCACTTCTCGTGTAGTGTGTACAGACAGCACATGCATACAAGTGTGCCACATCTGGGGCAGGAAGGCAGTTTTGGGAGCTGCGCTGCTCCAGAACTGGCCCCTGTGAGGGACAGGGCCTTGCTAGGGATACACGGGTGTGGGTGCCCCCCCCACAGAGGGTTCCCATGTCTCTGAGGACGCTCGCTGTTACCTCTGTAAACCATGTCTTCCTCCATAATCTTGCTTTGTTTGAGTAGGTTCCCCTTATCCCCTCTGTCCCTGTATAGGGGGTGCCCTCCTCCCCGCATCCTGAGCATTAATTCCTTCTTTTGCCAGGAAGAGCGACTGAAACTCCCAATTCTCTCTGAAGAGCAAGTGATCATGGAGGCAGTGGCCGAGCACCCCGTTGTCATCGTGTGTGGGGAGACAGGCAGTGGGAAGACCACGCAGGTGCCCCAGTTTCTATATGAAGCAGGCTACAGCAGGTGAGAGCGGTCCCGGGGCCCTCTGCAGGTCCCTAGGTGGCAGGAGTTTTGGGCCCCTGGTCATTTGGAGCACGTGCCCCAGGCGCCAGTCCCGCCGTGGCCCTCCCAGCTGTGTGGCTATGGTAAGCTGTGTGATGTAGTGTCTCTGTGCCTCTGTGTCCTCAGCTGTGAGGTAGGGAAGTTGAAGAGTGGTGCAGTCCGTGGTTGACAGGTGTGGCTGTGCAGAGCAGCCCCTTCAGTCCCAGTGTGTGGAACCAGGGGTTAGCAGGGTGCTCATGTCACCTGGCTGGCAACTTGGACCCTTGTGTCCCCTGGTCTGGGCCTCTTATTCAGTGATACTGGGGCACTGGCCTGCTGCCTTAGCCAGGTGATAACCACTTCTGCGAGGCCCCCAATCTGGCACCCCAGCTGATGTGTCAGTTTTCCCCCTTAGCGAGGATAGCATCATTGGTGTCACGGAGCCCCGCCGAGTAGCCGCCATGGCCATGTCCCAGCGAGTGGCCAAGGAGATGAATGTGTCGCAGCGGTGAGGACTCTGCCTCTTGGGGTAGGGCTCAGGGGTGGAGGTGGCTGGGCTTTCCTGGAGGAGTAGGACACTGGTACGCACATCCTCCATGGGGTCACATCACAAGGGGTGGGGGTGGGGGTGAGCAAATGACCCTTCTGGGCCAAGGGCCAGGCCAAGCAGCAGGTGGCCAGTGATGAGCCCTTAGCATCACCGGGTTCCTCTGAGCCTCAGGGCTCCCAGAGGAACAGGCTCTCCTGGCATCAAGGCTGCAGGCTGGCCATGGACAGGAGGGGAGCAAAGCAGCCGGTCGTGGCCAGACCGTGGGCTCGGGTCTGGTGGGGCCAGGAGACGTGCGAAGTGGTCTGAGCACAGCGAGAGGCTCCCCTGTCCATCCGTCCCTGCTGCCTTGGGGAGGTGTGAGCAGCGCCTGCCGCGGGCCAGGCCATCCGGCTTCTGTGTGGCAGTGCGTGTGGCCCCCACGGCCCCCTGCAGCTTATCTGCAGTCTGAGACACTTCGTCTGTTTGCACATCAGGTGGGCAAGTGCCCCTGCTCCCCTTTCTGGCCGTGGCCACCACACATTTTTTGCGTGTCCTAGAAGCTTCTCTGCACCACCACATCTTCATACTTACCCTTGTCTGTTTCTTACAAATGGGGTAAGATCCCACTCTCCTGTGTCTGTCCTGCCCCCTTAACTGATGAATCTTAAAAATAATAACACGTGAGAGGCTGTGCCTTGCTTCTGTGTGTTTTGCTTATCGTGACCATTTCAGAGAACGGCAAGGCTCGCACGTGTGCCCTACTTGCCCGTGCCGGCCCTTTCCTGCACCAGCGTCTTAGCCATGGCCTGGCCAGCTTCCCCTCCTCTGCAGCACCCGCTACCGCACCTGTCATTCAGAGGCAGGTGCCAGACGCTCTGTCACCATGTCCGTAGCTCCCATTACAGCTCTTAGCACTTTTAAGATAAAGTTTCTTCAGAACATGATCACAGTATCCTCCTGTGTCTGTGACTCCAGGCCTGCTCAGGTGTCCATGGCTGTCTCCCCAGAATCTCTGGCCATGGTCCTCATGTGCTGGCCTGACATGCTTGGCAATTGGAGGCTCTGGAGCAGGAGAGCAAGTGGGGCAGGCATCTGGTCCTCAGGGGAGTCGCGGTCCCCTGCTCTCAGGCGTGCTGCCTGGTGGGGCCAGGCCTCCCCTGCTGCCCATGTAGGAGCAACTGCTCAGATGCAGCCTCTGTAGCTGCTCTCCAGCTTGCCCTGAGGTCAGCCTGTCCTGCAGGGTCGTCTCCTACCAGATCCGCTATGAAGGAAACGTAACAGAAGAGACCAGAATCAAGTTCATGACTGATGGCGTGTTGCTCAAAGAAATACAGAAGGTTGGTTGCTCGTCTTCTCTCTGGGAAAGGCCTGAGAGCGTGGGGCCAAATGTAAGGCCGACGCCCTGGATGAGAACAAATGCCCATGGGTGCCAGTGGTCAGCCAGGGTACCGCGGTGCTGCTGTGTGATCTTGGGCAGGTTATTTAACTCTCCAAACCTTTCTGCAGTCTGGTGCAGATTGCATGTAATTGTTTTGAAGCAAGTTGTGTTATATGTGTGGATGGCAAGCACAGGCCTGGGGATGTTCCTTGACTTCCGGGAGCTGGCATTCACCAGGATGTGCCCCTTGAGTCCTGCTGACTGGCCATGTGGCCCTTGAGTGGGGGTCTCGGGACCGCAGAGACGACAGCCTTCTCTGCCAGGGTCACCTAGGAAGGTGACCAGTGTGGTTTTGGATTCCATGGTTCCTTTCATATGGCATGCCCTGAGTCCGACCCCCCTGAGTCCCCACCCAATGCAAGTTTCCAAGTTGCCTGGCTCTCCATGCCCAGAGGAAGAGTGAGAGCTCAGATTTAAGGAGTAGAGGCCGCCCCTTGCTCTGGCACCTTGGCCCAGGCCCCAGGCCATATGCTTTGCAGAGGCAGTTGTCAGTGAAACTGCACCGTGACCGTGAGGTGGGTTCAGTTGTTCGTCTGTTACAGATGAACCTGAGGTGTGGGGAAGTGACACTCCTTACCCAAGGTCACAGACTTAGTGGGCCAGGGCCCATGCCAGCTATCAGAGGGGTTCCCCAGGTGAGAGTGAGGGGACAGAGTGGCCCTGGTGGCTCAGGTAGGGCAGGTGGGCCTCACCCTGCTGACCTCTTCCCAGGACTTCCTGCTGCTGAAGTACAAGGTGGTGATCATCGACGAGGCTCACGAGCGGAGTGTGTACACGGACATCCTCATCGGCCTCCTGTCCCGCATTGTGTGTCTCCGGGCAAAGGTGGGTACAGGCGGGGTGTGGGGGGCCCCCACATCCAAGGGTCTCAGCGTGTTGTCCATAGACTCCTAGGCCCAGCATAGACTCCTGATGCCCATCCCAACCCCAGAGACCCAGGCGCTCACTGCAGCCTGGTGCCTGCTCTCCCTTCCTGTAGTGATGGGTGGGCCCGGGCCCTGCCTTCTGCCTCCGTCCTCTAGCAGAACTTTACCTCCGGGATTTTCAAGCCTCCCTTTATAAGCTACAACTGGGAGAGCAGAACCTGCCGCCCACTCACCCTTTCTAGAGAGTTCCCCAGCCAGAAAAGGGGCTGAGAGTCAGGACTGGAGGAGGTCAGGTCCCCGAGCCCCAGGTCACCACCTCCCACCCCACAGAGACAGCTGCCGTTGAAGCTGCTCATCATGTCGGCCACACTGCGGGTGGAGGACTTCACTCAGAACCGGCGGCTCTTTGCCCAGCCGCCCCCCGTCATCAAGGTAACATCTAGCTGGAGGTGGGCCAGCGGGGCAGCCAGGACAGAGCACGGGAGCTCGGAGCTGGGGAGGGAGGGAGTGCTGCCCTGAAGGCTCCCTGCTGGGAAGTCTGGGTAAGGGTAGGGGTGCTTCTGGGCTACAGTCACCCCGTCCTGCCCCTGCCCCCGTGTGCCCCTCATAGGTCGAGTCCCGGCAGTTCCCAGTGACGGTGCATTTTAACAAGCGGACACCCCTGGAAGACTACAGCAGCGAGTGCTTCCGGAAGGTCTGCAAGATCCACCGCCTGCTCCCGGCAGGTCAGGCCCTGGCGGGGAAGCTGGGCTTCACCCCTGAGCCTGGGGTGCGGGCAGGTGTCCTTGGCCTGTCTCCCAGGTGCCTCAGCCCTTGCTCAGCCTTGGTTTCTGTGCCACTTCCCAGGTGTTCAGGGTGCCTGGCCTGCTAGACTCTGCCCCAGGAGAGCGAGGGAATGAGGGCTGGCTTCCTGCTGCCCTGCTCCCTCATGCCCTGCTGGGCACTCCCAACAGCCCTGTCACTCAGCCTTGTCCCACAGCTCGCTGAACAGTGCTAGGCCTGCCCACTCTCCGCCTGTTCCAGGGGTACTCTTGGGCGCAACCCCAGCACATAATCTTGTTCCCTCCTCCCCACCTTCTCAGTGGGGCTTCTCTTACATCTGGACCTTCACCCCTCAGTGCGGCCACTCCTGACTCCCACACCCCTGCGCCTTGCCTCCCTCTGGACGTGCATCCTGGCCTTTCTTCCTGCTCCCTTCCGGCCTTTTCCAGGCCTCCTCCCCGTCCTGGTCCTCTGTCAGCAATGGAGGGACCCGTGGGAGGGTCCCTCGTTCCTTTTATTCTCAGGAGTGGAACTGCTGGCCAGCAGGTAACCGTCCAGCCTCCAGTGTGGTACCACAGGCCTGGGATGGTTGCCATCACCCCTGCCTCGACGTCCTGTCTGGCTATCCTGCCAGCCGCCTCCCAGCGGGGCTTGGTGATGGTCGGTGATCAGGGATACTTGTGGGGTGCCTGGAGGGGTAACTTGGGGGCCTTCCTCTTGGCAGGCGGCATCCTGGTGTTCCTGACAGGGCAGGCGGAGGTACATGCGCTGTGCCGCAGGCTCAGGAAGGCCTTCCCCCACACCAGGGCCCCGCTGCCAGGTACCGCGCTACCCTCTGCGCCGGAGCCCTCGCCGGGGCCCGGGCCTCAGCATCTCGCTTTGTTGTGTTGGGCCTGCTGTCCTGTCACTTTAGGGTCACCCACAGGGAAGGACAGCCCAGGGTGCCATCGCCTGACCTGTTCATCTTCTCCCAGAGAAGGATGACCAGAAGGACTCGGCCGAGGAGATGCGCAAGTTTAAGAAGTCAAGGACTCGGGCCAGGAAGGCTCAGGCAGCGGTAGGTGGGGCCCTGGGGCAGCCTTGCCAGTGGCTGTGTGCACGTCTGCCTGACTTTAGTGGAATAGAGTCAAAGTGCAGTTCCTTGGTGACATCCCTCATTCCTCAGGCTCCCAGCAGCCACCGAGAGCTGCCAGTGACAGCAGGGATGCTCCTGCAGTGGGGTTTCCATTGTGTGGCCGCTCCACAGCTGCAGGGTGGCTTAGGACTTGAAACGGTCGAGGTTCCTGAAGCCTGGGGCTGGGGAAGCGTTTGGAAGCATCTGCAAGGGTTCTCGGGGGCGGGGGACAGAGCAAGGGCACAGGCCCTCTCGGCTCTTGTGGAAGGACAGGCGCATGGGCAAGGCAGGGGTAGGCCTGCTCGCCCCGACAGACCCACTTCCTGCGTGACGACGGCCAGGTCAAGGTCAGTGTTTTTTCATTGGTGAGCTACGAGGCCCCGGTCTGACTGGGTTTGTTTACAGATTTACTTATGTATACAAGGACCGGGTGTAGGCCGGAGGTGCAGGGGTAAGAGGCTTCGCCAGAGAGAGTGGGAGCAGAGCAGGCAGGGGTACTGAAATCAGCTGCTGAGGAGAGTGGTGTGGAGACAGGAGGGGTCTGCCGTGCTGTGTGGGCACCTCTGGCTGGAGCTGTGCTCCTCACATCTTGTTTGCCGTAGACGCTGCCCCATATCAGTTTGGACAGTTACTCAGTGCTGCCCGTGGGTGAAGAGGACCGGGAGGCAGACGTGGATGAAGAGGAGGCCCTGGGCTCCGACCTGGACCTGGACCTGGGGGACGACGTGGCAGACAGAGGTGGGACCCCGGCAGGGCCGCCGTGTGCCTGTGCCTGCATCCCTGCTGTTCCCCAGGCCCTGTTGGGGCCCAGGCTCTTGTCTACCCTCACAGTGCCTGGAGGGACACTGTGACCCCACCTCTCTGTTCCTGTGGGGTGGAGGCCCAGAGAGCTGGGTTCCTGGCCCTTGTGCCTCCCGCCTTTTCCTGAGCTCCTGAAATTACCTGGCTCTCAGTATTTGTGGTGTTGCCTCAACAACAGCAGGGAGGGTTCCCCAACTGCAGAGCTTGCCTTACTGGAATGTACCCCGTGACTAGAGATGGGCCCTGGCTGGCCTTCCTGGGCAGAGCCTGGTGGGCGTCAGGCTGGAGTTGGGCAGTGGACAGGGAGCTTTGGCTCTGCGCCAGATGTGCTGGTCCTGAGGGTGGAACCCCAGCAGGCAGCCAGGTGGTACAGTGTTCTCTGGTGGGGTGGGGGTGCTGGGGTGCCAGTGGGCCTCCACTTCCTTGCAGGTGAGCAGCTGGATGCCTCGCTCCCCCTGCACGTGCTCCCCCTCTACTCCCTGCTGGCCCCTGAGAAGCAGGCACAGGTGAGCTGGCAGGTGGAGTGGGTCCCGGGGGGAGCATCTCTCGGGGCATCTAGAAGGGGCAGGGCAGCCCTGACTGTCTTGACTAGGAGCTATTTGGTCTCCAGCCCTGGTGTTCTAGAAGAGTACTGGCATCTCCCACTTGTAAATGAGATTCATTTCCCTGTTTGGGACACGGTGGCAGGAGCCAGAGGCAAGCAGTTGGCCCTGCTCGCCTGGCTGCTTCCCCGTGGGGACCTTGCCTGACCTTGTTCCCACGCCTCTGCTGGTGAATTCTCCCCTGACACTCGTCTCTCCTTGATACCAGGTCTTCAAGCCTCCCCCAGAGGGGACTCGGCTGTGCGTGGTAGCCACCAATGTGGCCGAGACGTCCCTCACCATTCCGGGCGTCAAGTATGTGGTGGACTGTGGGAAGGTCAAGAAGCGGTTCTATGACCGCGTCACCGGTGTATCATCCTTCCACGTCACCTGGATCTCCCAGGCCTCGGCTGATCAGCGGGCGGGCCGTGCCGGCCGGACAGAGCCTGGACACTGCTACAGGTGGGTCTGCAGCTTCCTGCTTGGGGACAATGGGGCCTTGACCCACCAGGGAGCCCGTGAGGTCCCCAGGCTGTGTCCACTGGGGTCCTCGGGCTGTGTCCCAGGATTTCAAATCTGTGGGACTGGACCGTTCGGGTCTTTTCCTCAGGTGTGTTTGGGGGTTCACTGTGGTGTGGCCTGGCACGACGCCTCACTCCCCTTCATGCAGAGTCCTGTGCTGTCGCCGTGTGTGGGACCACATCTTCCCTGTGGGCGGGCATTCAGTGGCATTCCTGCAGCCATCATGAGTACTTCCTCAAGGGTCCGTGTCTCATGAGTCGGGCAGACCTCTGGGTCTTGAGGGCCTTGTGTAGGTGACCTGCGGGGAGCCCGTGGACCTAGGGTCTGTTTCTTCAGCCACTTCGCAACACCCGTTACTTTCCTTTCTGAAAGTTGTGAGCTTCTTGTGGGGGAGGCGGCATCTGCCTGTCTGGGCTGGCCCTGGGCTCCTGGCCCTTTGTGTGAGCTCTGGGGAATGTCTGTTCTGGTCTTTTCCTTACCTTAGGTTGTCTTTTGATTGTTGAGATGTAAGAAATTTTTTTTTTTAATTTTTATTTTATGTATTGATGCATACCAGAGCTGGGGTGCAGGCCAGAGGTGTGGGCAATGGGGGTGAGAAGACTCACCAGAGACAGTGGGGAGCAGAACAGCGGGTTGACTGAAATCCACTGCTGAGGGGAGCAGCAGGGGGACAGGAGAGGGCTGCTGTGCCCTGTGGGCCAGTGCCCGGCCATGGAGCAAACTCTGCTGCGGGGGCTGCGATAGCTTTATAGTGCTGAGACAACCCCTGCACCACCAGGGAGGGCCCGAGATGTAAGAATTCTTTATACATTTGGGACAATAGGTCCGTGTCAGATGTATCATGCAGATGTTTTTTTTCAAGTCTGTACCATGTTTTATGGTTTCATGTCTCTTTTTCCAGTGTTCAGAATTGCCAAAAAAAGATAATTGAGAAAACTGAAAAGAGTGGTAGTTAAGATTGCCACCCGCTCCGTGCCAGCCTGACCATGACTTGAGTCAGCCCCCGTCCCCTCCCCCGCCCAGGCTGTGTGGTCGGGCCTGGCCCGGGTGACCCGGCTGTGCACACAGAGCGAGTGGGGCCACAGCAGTCTGTGCTTTGCCAGCGGCACATTCTGACCGTGTTCCTTTCTGCCAGGCTGTACTCTTCAGCGGTTTTTGGAGACTTCGAGCAGTTTCCTCCTCCTGAGATTACCCGGCGACCCGTGGAAGACTTGATCCTTCAGATGAAAGCTCTGAACATCGAAAAGGTCTGAGTGGCGTAGGCCCTGCCCCGCCCCCCTGGATTCCTGCGTCCTGTCTGCCCTCTCTCAGTGCCCTGGGGCTGGCCCTGGGGCCCTTGCCAAGCAGCTAAAGCCCCTACGAGAACCCAAGTCCCAGCCCTGATCTCTGGAGCACCAGGATGGGTGTCGGGGACAGAGCCAGGCGGACTGAAATGCTCCCACAGGCCTCGGGAGGGGCAGGGGCTGGCAGTGCCCTCGAGAACCACAGAAGGTTCTGCCCACAGGCCCACATCTCCTGGTGGACCAGGGTGGTCCACCTGTCACCTGCTCCAGGAGGGTTGGTCCCAGACACATGGAGACCCACATCCATCAAAAACCACCCCTGCCACACCTGCCAGGCACTGGCAGCATGAGTCCATGTTCTGTGCCTTTGTCCTTCAGGGTGGACCATCCTGGTCCACCAGGAGATGTGGGCCTATCTTTCTGGGCCCGTCACACTTGGGGAGTCACATGCTGTGCCCTTGAAGGTCCCGCTGCTTTCAGCATCATGTACTTGAGCTCATCATGTGGGAGCAGGGGCCAGGGCTCCACTTCCTTATGCCAAGTCTTAGTCCCTGATGGGGGACACCCATATCCGTGCATCCAGGGTGGAACCTGCATGCTTGAGCTCTTGCTGTCAGCTGTCCCTACGCCAGTGCCATCACCCCTGTCTCCTCCTGATTGTCTGGCCACATTGGCTCCATCTGTTCTGGTGGAACCCCAACCTCCCACCAGTGGTGACTGCCCCCCTCACTCCCTGCTGTGGGGACTCCTGCCCACCATGTGGGACTCACGCCCTCCCCTGTCTTCCAGGTCATCAACTTCCCCTTCCCGACCTCTCCCTCCGTGGAGGCCCTCATTGCTGCTGAGGAGCTGCTGGTGGCACTGGGTGCTCTGCAGATGCCCCCACGACTAGACCGGTGGGCAGGGTGGAGTGGAGGCAGGGGGTGGAAGGCCAGCCCCGCTCCCATCACCCCAGGCACCTCGGTCTTGGGGCTGACGCTGAATCCTGGACCTCTGTGCTGCAGGGTGAAGCAGTTGCAGAATTCCCGACTGAGCAGCCCCATCACCGCACTGGGCAGGACTATGGCCACCTTCCCCGTGGCACCACGCTATGCCAAGATGCTGGCGCTGAGCCGGCAGCATGGCTGCCTGCCCTATGCCATCACTATTGTGGCTGCCATGACCGTCCGGGAGCTGTTCGAGGAGCTGGACAGGTGGAATCGGGCGGGATTCTGGCCTCGGGGAGCCCCTGCCCACTGGGTGGTCTGTGCGGGCCCCTCACCCCACAGAAGTCTGTTTGCTGGACTTTCCTTACCCTGGATCCCCTCTCCGTCGCCCTCGACCTCAGAGCTCCCCGGGGTCCGCAGGGCTTGCTGGTTCACGATGTGCTTCTGTCACTTCGTGGCTTCGTTTACCCTTGTTCCTCCCACACGTGAGCCACGCTGTTTATGTGTGGCATCCTGACCTACGCTGCTTTACGTGAGTCCCGCCCCAGAACCCTGTCCTGAAGGACCCCTGGCTGCTCTGACCGGGACCAGGCTCTGGGAAGCCCACCTGTCATGTCTCCCTCCACCCCTCCTGAGCACGTGGGTCCGCGGGCATCACCATACCTCACCCTCCTGTCCGGGTAATGCTGGGCGTTAATGGTTCCAGCACATTGGGTCAGCTCACATGGGATGTCAGGCACTCCGCAGCTCAAGGTCACACATCAGCTGACTGTCCCCTCCATGGGGACCTCAAGAACAGTTGATCTCTGTCTCCAGCCTGCCCTGGGGCTTCTGACTGGGCCCGCAAGGTGGCGGCGGTTGCTCTCCACTGCTGGAGGGTTCTCTGCTTGGTGTGTGGCATGGGAACTGCCAGGTCGGGGGGCGAGGGCGCCTCAGTCCCATGGCTGTCAGTGGGGACGTCAGCCCACTGCTTTCTCCCTGACTCTGTCTCAGCTTTGGGGAATGAAAAGTGCATCCCTGCTCCGGCACCTCACGGTGGCTGGGCAGCCTATGCCAGGGCAGTAACCCAGTGTGTGTCTGTCTGTTGTAGGCCGGCCGCCAGTGACCAGGAGCTCGCCCAGCTGAAGGGCCGGCGTGCCCGGGTAGCCCAGATGAAGAGGATCTGGGCAGGACCGGGCATGTCCCTGAAACTCGGGGATATCATGGTGCTGCTAGGTATGTGCCAGACGGGGCGAGGAGGGCGCGTGGGGGCAGGGGGTGAGTGCTGTCTCGCCCACAGGCGCCGTGGGAGCCTGCGAGTACGCCGGCTGCTCGCCCCAGTTCTGCGAGGCCAACGGGCTACGCTACAAGGCCATGCTGGAGGTCCGGCGTCTTCGCGGCCAGCTCACCACTGCGGGTACGGACCGCCAGCCCCGTCTAGTGAAGCTTGAACTTGTCTTGAGCGACATTGCCACTGCGGTCGTTCCTGTCACTCGTGGCCGTGTCTGGAGCTCCCGCGCTGCTGACATGCTTGTGGCCCTGAGCCGTGCCTCACGCTCCAGAGCTCCCGGGGACTGCCTGGGGCCGGGGATGGCAGACGGTTGTGGCTGGCGCCCCTGAGGGACCTCGCCTCCCCCTCTGCCCCTGGCTCGGTCACCACCACGCCTTCGGCCCTGCAGCCCCCTGCCTCACCCTGACTCCAGTGCTCCAGCTTGCGGGGGTGGGGTGAGGCAGGAACTCTGGCATGTGCCAGGCAATGGCCCCTTTGTTCCTGTCCCTGGTGCCTGCTCCCGTCCTTCCCGATTCTTCTCCTCTCTTTTCAGCTTAAACTTTGCTGGGTGTTTTATGGGGAAGCCAGGAGCTTTATATTGTAAACACTGGAACAGAAATATCCATCTGTCCTGCCTTCCTTTTGGCCCTGCTCCTCCCCTCTGGCTTTCTGCCACCTACACCCACCCCACCGCCCCCGGCAGCCATGTCGAGCCTTCCTCCCGGCATCCATAGAGCTCAGCCTCCCCTTTGGGGATGGTCCCTCACCCCTGGATTTCACACCAAGATGACGCCTGGCTTTCCTACCAGCAGTGGCTCCAGGAACCTAGAGAGAAACATCTTTGCCCTCTTGTTACCTTGTCAGAGGCCTCAACTCTTCGGCCACTTTGGGGTGGCTGATCCGGGCAGAGGGCATGGGGGTCCACGTCAAGCCAGGTCCTCCCAGGCTTGCTGTTCTCAGTAGCTCTCTCCTGACACACAGTGTTGGTGTGTCCCTGTCCTGTGCTGTGTCCCCGGGCCCCCGGCCTTCAGAGCAGCCACAGCATTTCTGTCAGCCCCGAACTGGATCACTGCACGCTGGGAGCAGTGGCCTCACACCGCATGTCTGCTCCCTCAGCAGCAGGAACCCTAGCCGTGCCCTGCCCACCATGGCACATGGCTCTGGCCTCAGGCCTCTGGCTGAGAAGGCAGTTAGTTGCACTTTTAAAAAATGAGCTTTCTAGAAGGGAGCAGGGGGCAGGATGGGCTTTCCAGAAGTCCTGGCCAGCAACCCTGTTCTTGCGTCCAGGCCCAACCCGAATCCTGTTGTTCTCTATGGGAGCCAGCAAGAAGCCACGTCTTAGCAGAATGCCCTGTTGCCCACGGCGGGGAGGGGTGTTGGGGCCAGGGTCCAGGCAGCAGGAGGCTGAGGCCAGAGCTCACCTATCAGGGTGAGAGTCTTCTGGAATGTAGGGACAGAGTCTGCCCCCTACTGGCCATCACAGCCATCGCCATCCTCATGCTTGGCTGTCCCCGCCCGCAGTCAATGCCGTGTGCCCAGAGGCTGGGCTGTTTGTGGACCCCAAGATGCAACCTCCTACTGAGAGCCAGGTGACCTACCTGCGACAGATTGTGACGGCTGGCCTCGGTGACCACCTGGCCCGTAGGGTCCAGAGCGAGGAGCTGCTGGATGAAAAGTGGAGGAACGCCTACAAGGTTGGCACTTCCTCCCTAAGCCCTTCAGCCCTCTGGCCTGGGCACTGGGCGCCATCCAGCCCCCTGGCCTGGGCACTGGGCGCCATCCAGCCCCCTGGCCTGGGCACTGGGC